TGTTGAATCTAACAAAGCAATTTTTTCTCCCTCCGTTCTCCATATTTACATGCAAGCACTAGGTGAACCGATTAGGCAGCATGGATTTAAGAGCTGCCATTTCACAGATGATACCCAGTTTAATCTTGTGTTTCCCCTCATATGCCTACACCACTGCCACCAAGATGGCCCTGTACCTGAGAAGCACTGGGATAACGAACTGTTGGCTGACGCTGAACTGGAGCAAGACGGAGGTGATAGCAGTGAGTCATGGGCAGCAGTTTGAAGAGTTCCCAGACACACCTGCAATCTCCTTCTGGTTGAAGGTGCACACCCACCCATGCTTTGTCCAGAGTTTGAGACATTTCAGAATTGTGACTGACCCTAAGCTCTCCCATAATGGGATCTGCAAATGGGTGTTTTCTGTCATCTCCAGCTGCCTGGGGGATTCCTCCCCACTTTGGCAGACAATAGCCTGTTCTTGGTTATTTACACCTTCATTTCCTCGCAGGTGGACGACAGCACTAGGGACCTGCACCACTTAGGAACTGCCAAGTACTACAGAGCATTGTAATAATGCACCTCAGCAACACAGGGGACCACAAGTGCATCAGACCTAGCCCTTGATTTCTAGGCTGGCTTCCACAAAACATCCAATAAAGGTCAGAGTCTCAGCCCTTATCTTCAAGGTGTTCTTTCACCTGGGTTGAGAGTATCTGAAAGACCATGTAAATCTCTGGGATGGTTCTGGCTCAAGGAAACTTTCAGTGATGAAGGTGAAGTTCACAGTCTCAGATTGGCCACAAAGAAAAAGTTCTGTGGAATGAATTCCCTTATAACTATCACACCCTTGAGTCAGGGTGCAAGATTTCTCTGACCGTGCCTCCTTTTTTAAAAGGAGAGTGCAACATCGATATTTATCCTCTTCCCTTTATACCTTCCCCCTCCAACAGTGAAACAAAGAAGAAAAACCAGGACACTCCACTGCACATGCTTGTCCCCCTGAGGGGAGGGTGAGAAAAAAATGCATGACAGATGGGGAGTCACATTGCTCAGTGCATGACTGGAAGGCGCTTGTACACAGCACAAAAACTTCCACAGAATGGCAATATGCATCCAGACCATACCTTCATTCAACTCCTTAAATGAGGAGGTTTCTAAGTGCAGCTGGTCAGAACTTTGTGAGTGCAAAAATTGTCTGGTAAAAGTATTTGTCATTTTTAGCCTTCTGCATCTTGATAAAACTTGCACTAAATTTTTTTTGCATTTTCATTTTCCCCTCGCACTTTCCTCTTTGCCACTCTCCCATTTTCAGAGTCTGGGAGAAGGCAGGAATAAACCATGAAAACAAAAACTGAAAAAATATTGACCACTTTTATTTAAAAAAACAAAAAAAAAAAAAAAAAAAAAAAAAAAAAAGAGTTTATTTTTTTTTTTTTTTTAAAAAAACAAAAAAAAAAACCAATCGAACAAAAACTGGCCCTTTTTACAAACCTGGGAAATGAGATTTCAGATTTTTTTTGCACAGGTTAGTGTCAAGTTTAGATGCAGATGTGTAGAAGCAAGGGAAGGGTGTGCATGCAAGCCCAGTTTGGAGGGGATGATTTTCCTCATGGAGCCATGGAGCTCTGCTTTTCTCCCTGGGGAAATGAAAGGGCTGAATCCTCTTAAGAGTCTCCTCACCTCTCTGGTCCCTGCTTTCCCCAGCTGTATAAAGGTTTTCTGCTTGTATTTCTCTCATAGCAGCACAGCAAACATACTTGGGTAGGCTCCTCAGAGTTGGAGCTTGGCAGAGCTGCCCCGACATCTGTATATAAATGGGTCAGTCTTCTGAAAGCAGTAGCCTGGGGCCAAAGCCTGTATTGAGCCCCAGCCTTCCTTTCCCCTCTCTTGGAAAGGGCTGGGTGCCAACCAAGGCTGCTGGGCTCCTTGACAGGAGAGACGCTGCTGCCATCTTAGGAGCCACAATGGCACTGCAGCCGAGCAGCAGCTGGCAAGGGGGGGATATCTCCCTGCAGGGATGGCCCCAGGTGAGCACCACTCCTAGTCTGACTCCTTGCAACTTCCTGGCACAGGCCGATGTGGGCTGGGCGGCAGCGAGCAGGAAGGTCAGCAGGCATGCAGGCAGGCTCCCTGAGGTGCAGCTTGGGAATGCCCCTCTCTGTACACACTAGGCTCTGCCTCCAGCCCCACGAAGGCCCTGCTAGCAGGCATGCAGAAGCAGCATGCTTCTAGGCACTCGGCCACTCTCAAGACAGGCTTTGGTCCCATTGCTCAGCAGATGAGAGTCCCCAGCACGTGCCCCCTGCACATACAGCGCCCCCTGGTTTCAGGCTACAGCACTCCTAAGCTGCACGCTCTAGTGGTGGTCTCCCAGCGCACCTCTGACCACCTCACCCCTGACCAGCAGCCTCTGCTGTTTGAGTCCATAGCCTCCCCAAACTCGCTGCTTGCAAAACATCCAACCTCTCATGAGCAAATTGGTGCCCGGCAGAGGGATATGTTTTATGATGTCACCAATGTAAGCGTAAGTCAGCAGAGATCCCCACAGAGGTTGGGTCTGGGGCAAACCAGGCTGTGCACCCTGGCTTCCCAAGGGAAAGGGCAAGGAATTGCAATGGCTTTCCTCTAGCGCCAGTATGGGCAAGATGGAAGAAAACATCCCTCCCATTAGGCAGCATGAAACTTAGCCACACAGCCTGAAAGTAGATGAGCATAAAAGCAAGCAAGGCATGAAGGCACAGTGGTGGGCACAGATGCAGGACAAAGTCTGGGGTCCATTTTCATGCCCCTTGGCATGGGTCTTCCTCCCACCCCCCACCCCCCCTCCGCCTACTCTGCTACGCAGCCTTCTGCAAGCCGGGTGGTGTGGAGTCCCCTGTGCCCAACCCCATACTCAGGAGACTCTGAGGCAGATGTTGCTGAGCCTCTGACTAACACCTCCGAGGAGCAAGTGATTTCATGCTCTTCTTACCGTACCCCAGCGCTGGCTCCTTTAAAAGAAAGTGTGTCTATTCTGTTCTGCTTAATAACTGCACAGTAATTAGCTTCACAATTTTGCTACTATACTTATAATAGCCTCCATTAAAGTTATGGGGTTTTTAGGCAGTAATGGCTTACAGAGTAATTAATGAGCAAGAGGCTTTTATTGCTACCTTTATTTTTAGACTATGTTTTACAAGCCATCTCTGCCAAACAGCAAAATCCCAAGCAAGCGTCTTACAGTGACTTCCCCCACTCTGCCCTGCTCCTCCCACCTCACCCCAATGTGCAAACCTGGACACGAACTGTCAGAAGCCATCTGGTCAGACACAAATCATCGGCTTTACTTTTTTCTTGTCCGCTGGGCCAAGCAGGGCTATTTCCAGCTCAGTTCCTGACTTGCCCGATGCTCTCAGACAAGACTCTTTGAATCACTGCATGCCTCAGTTCCCCCAGGGATAAAACAAGTCTGGTAATCACCAAAGCCACTTGTTAGATAAGACAGGAGATGGGCTGATGCCTGTATGAATGGGGTTTGGCAGCAGGGGCTGTAGCTCGTGTGTGGCCCCAAGCGTACAGTCACACAACTGTCCTGTGAACAGAAGCAGTTTGCTGGTGAGTGCCACTTACCCAGATCTCTCTGAACCAGCGGCAGCAGAAGAAGGCATACAAATCCCTACAGTGTCCAGTTAGGGGCTAACCAGTCCACAAGGGAACTTGCCTTGAGAGTTGGTACCTTAAAATATTGTGGCTCCGGCGAGTTGTGTTATCCAGATGCCAATCTCAGTGCCGCCAAGCCCTTGGCTTCAATGCTGTCTAATGGCAGTGAATGATTTAAATAATACCCATGGAAATGCAATTAAGAGTTTTTGGTGTAATGTCCTCTAAACATTACCCGTTCGGCGTGGGACAGCCCAGCACAACCACATGGCGGCTGTGCAGAAGACGGAAGGTGAAACTCATGATAAACCAGATTGCAAATCAAATCAGTGTCCTTTCAAAAGTGAAGTGGCACAGCTGACGCCAATTACCCTTGATTTAGAAAAAAAACATTCTTTCAGACTCTAATAATCCAACAAGTCGCTACTTAACACAAGGATAAATTATTTTCAATGTGATTTTTTTTTATAGCAGGACAGCGTCTTTTCGGCATGATAACATATTGATTAGGTGCACCACTGCCCTCTAGTGCATGGAGCCAGAACTACTTTTCTGTGTGTCATAGATCTTACTCTTCCCCGACCCTGAAAATTAAATTTGGGGCAAGAAAGGCTTTTCACACTAAATGCGACTTTATTAAGGTTGACATATTTTGACAAAACAGAAACTTCCTTTGTGTTTTGGCAATGTGCATCTCACTTCCATTTCCGAAAACTGAGGCTATTGTTGCTTAACGTATGTTTTCCAGGCTGGGGAAGGAACCTGTCTTTTGCTCTCTCTTTTTTTTTTACTCCATTTCTCCCTTTTCTGGTGGAAGACAAGCCTCACTGAAGCCCTAGCAGTAAAAATGAAAACTAAACACATTTTCATTTTGAACTTTCTCATTGAAAAATGAAAAAGCATTCCATGGAAAAGAAATACCAGGAAGAAATGTGGGAATTAATGCTGTGATTTTGACTGAAAAAGTAGTGGAGGGCAGGCATCCTTCAGCTTGAGCATTAGAGGGCATGAGTTTCTGAATTCTCATCCCGATGATCTCTGTAAAGGTCCATGTGGCCCTGATACGCAGCATGATACCATCACCATGGCTGTGGATTTATTGCTCTGTGTACATCATGGTTTCTACACATGCTTGTTGGTGATGTGGGAGGGCATCTTTGTTTTAATGAGAACTGGAGCCATCACCTCTCTCCATTCTCATGGCTTTAAGGAATGTTGTCGGAGCTGGTACTCATGCTGTTTATGGGAGCCCAAAATGAATTAACAGAGCATCCTACGCTTGGGCTTCTCCTGGTCCTCTGCAAAATCAGATTGCTTAAAAATACTAATGTTGAGCAAACGTCTGTGCTATAGAATGAATAATGGGGTGTGTTCCCACATGTTGATGGAAAGTTGGAAACCTGACTGTGCAGAAATCACAAGCCAACAGCCCAAGGGTATCCGACCATGACTGCCTTCTTCTGTAAGGAGCAAAGCATGTCCAACAGCTCCCAGTGACTGGGTTCTTTGAATGTTAATGAAGGAATACCTGCCAGAAAATGAATTCCTCTATTCCCATAACAACCTGCTTGACAGAGGGAAGGGAATGTAGCCGGTTGCCCTGCAGGAGCAGTCAAACCCCAGCTCTAGCCAGGCTTGGGATATTCATGCTCTTCTATGAGTTTGGACATCCCATTGCAGGCTGACCATTTCTTCACCATCCTTTGGCCCTGCTGGCCTGCAGTTCTTCTCTTCTTAAGACAGGAATCTCACACCAGGATTAGGGCCTTGCTGTGCATGGCCACTGGCAGATACCCAAGAAGAGGCTGCTGGCCCCTGCAGGGTATAAAGTAAGTGGGGTTGGATGACAGCGAACAAACAAAGCAGAGCTGAGCGGGGTGTGCTAGTAGATAACAATGACATGAAGAGTGTAGCAGGGAAATGGGCCTTTCTTTACTTGCATAACCCATGCCAGGACTGACTAGTTGGTGTTGTGGTAGCAGGAGGGATTCAAGAGGCTACAGTGGTGGTTTCACAGGCCTGGGAGCTTTTTAGCCCAAGCAGGGCAGGGCTGAAGCACTGAGGGCACTGAGGAAGGTAGGACAAGTCAGTGTTTAGGGCAAGCATTGTTGGCTTCTCAGATGGACCCTTGTTTCCAGGGGAGAACGTACCATAAGCTCTTGTTCCCATCCATGTTAGAAGTATACCCCTGTGTAGATGAGGGAGCGTGGCATTCAGGGGAGGAGAAACTGTTGGGCACAGCCAAAGGGCACCAAACATGGGACTGACTTCCGAGGCAGAGAGCTGATGATGATGGCTCCAGTTCTCATTAAAACAAAGATGCCCTCCCACATCACCAACAGGCATGTGTAGAAACTATGATGTACACAGAGCAACAAATCCACCAGAACTGGGCACATGTGAAAGGAGCCAAGGGTGCCAAGAGGCCTGAGGACGTTTGGAGAAGTCATGTTTCCATGGCAGAGGGCACTGTCCCCATTAACTCTCTGCTAGGACGGCAAATCATACCCAGCAGCTATCTGTGCAGGGAGTGGGGTGGGCTGTATTGACGGCTCACAGCTGGAGAATAGGAGTCAGATGGTTGGCTGGGGAGCTAAGTGCTCAACAGAATATTAAAGGGAATCAATGCTGAGTGAAGCGGTGCAGGAATGAGTGAAGCGTGCTCTTTCTCCCATGGGGAGAAGACCAGTGCAGTCAGCTGCCCACTGAGAGCCCTGCGGTTCCCAAGAAGTCAGCAAGTTGGCTGTAGAGCAGCAAGTGCGGGGAGAGGCATTGCTAAGGCCAGGGTACTACACACTGAGTGTCTGCCCCGGGTGCGTGCATCGTGCTCCCTGTGCCATCCCTTGTGAGCACTAGCGGACTGAAGTGAACTGGCTTCTAGCTGCTCCTTAGCATGTCTGTTTTCCTACCTGCTTTCCCTAGAAGCCAGCAGTCACTGTAAGGTCCATGCACTGAGCATGGGCTCCCTCCCTTCAGAGCTGGACGGGGCTAGAGATGAGATTTCCTTCTGGAGGGGTCCTGTGGATGTCTTCTGCAGAGGAGATGCTGTGCCTTTGTGCAGATGCTGCCCAGTGGCTAGTGAGGAGAGAGGCTGTGATATGAGAGCCCTGTGTCCTGTGTCTCCCCGCATCCACACATTGATGGGGAACCACAAGCCAATGGGGACAATGCCAGCAGTGATTTGAGCCACTTGCTGCTCGGGGGACTCGGTCAGCATCACAGAGCCAGACTCTGGTTGTTTGAGAAGCGGGTTTTTGCTCTGGAGCAGTGTCCAGACTGCTGGGAGGCAGTGGGCAACCATGGCTCTTGCATAGGAAACTGGGAAAGTCTTCAGAAGTAAAGGGCAAAGCAGACCGAGGGCTTGCCCTGTAGGAGGCTGATGCCTTCCAGAGCCCTGACATCAGATACCTCTCTGCCTCCAGCCAGGGTGTGCCCACGGTGCTCCTTGTTGCCTGCAGTGCAGTGCCATGAGCAGATGGCTGACACCTTCCCTCATGGGAGCAAGCGCACTGAGCAATGCTCCAGCTTTGCAAACCGCCCACCTTACAGGTGCCTGATGAGGGATGCCCACTGCTGGCCAGGGTAATGCTCAGATAAGATACCGCCTGCTTCCATCTCACCTGCTCTTGCACTGAATCAGACTAAGGCAACGTGGCAGCTCCATGAACTGCACTCCTGACACCTCAGAGAGGGGATAACCATGCAGGAGGAGCAAGCTCTGTAGGAGAGCAGGAGACCAGAGTCCTGAACTGGAAGTGGGAGCAGTCCCAGTCAGGGCGGGATGGGAGGGTCTGGGTAACTTGTGCCGTGGTAGTGAGAGTGACACATGCAGACCAAGCAGTCAGTGGCATTGCATCTGTTTTCCCAATAGTGACTAGGCCTTCCAGTGAGGGCCTGGCCTTGGAGTCCTGGCTGAGCCCTCAGCCTGCAAGAGAAACAGGCCACTGGTCAGAAAACAGGACTGGGAGCCAGCTTTTAAGCTCTCAGCCAGTCTCCATCACTGGTTCCTACGTCAGTCAAATGACATGAACCTTCTAGTTGCTGCTTCCCTCCCATTGAATGGGCCCACGCATCCAAGGAGGGCTGTGAGGCTTCATTAATAACTGCAAAAGCTGTGAAACAGAAAGGGCTAGTGGGTGTCACGAGCTAGTGACTCACTGCCCCTGGGATTCTCCTTCCTTCTCTGCAAGGCTGGGAGCAGTAGGGGGGAGACTGGCCTTTCTACCCCCGGCCAGGCCCTGCTATGCAGGAAATTGCTGTCCAGGGCTTCTGTGGGTAGCAACGCAGCATTAAGATGCAGAGAGGTGAAAGCTGGATATGGCTGTTGGCAGCTCACAGAGGCTGGTGGGCTGCCTGGGGCATACTTACTGCAGGGAGTGTGGGGATAGCACAGACAGTGGTGAGGCACCCCATGAGCTGGATGTGCACATAAGCATGCACCAGAGCTTATGCCTCGGGGTGGAGGGGCTCAGATACAGATGTGCTACATCACTGTCTGGCTGATAGAACCAGGGACTTTCTGGGGTGCTCTGGGTCACGGGACATGAAGGAGGGCAGAGTCCCAGACACCCAAGGTTGCTCTCTTCCAGAGGATGGATGCAGCTGGCTGCCCCGATGGCACCTCCTCCTGAGGAAGGCACATTAGCATGAAGGCAGCTCTCCGTGGAGCAGTTCTTCCCGGTGCTTCTCCCTGCCTAGGCTCCTTTGCTTTACCTTGCAGGCTTCCTTCCAAATGGGTCCCTGAAGCTCCAGCCTGCGGCTCCTGTGACATCCGGTGTAAGCATCCCCTGGAGCAACCTCCAGCCCGTGGAGCTGTGGCACCGCCAAACCTGCTTCTGCAATGGGTGGGTTGTAAGCGCTGGTAAGACCTGCGAGCCATGTTGCCCTTGCTGCTCTCTCTCTCTGTCCTTGTTCCTTCCTGCCCATTTATTTCTGTTCTCCATGTGCTCTGCTGTTCTGTCTCTGGGGTTCTCGCTGTCAGGTAATGAGGAGCTGTGGGTCCAGTCAGTCTTGGAGATGCCGAAGAGACGAGACATCCTGGCTATCGTGCTGATAGTTCTGCCCTGGACGCTGCTAATCACCGTCTGGCACCAGAGCACCATTGCTCCACTGCTTGCAGTGCACAAGGGTGAGAGAAACCACCTGGCCTATGCCAGCTCGGTGCACCCCTGCCCATGTCTCATTCCATCTCTCCCATGACAACCATGCTCATCTCAACTTACGGTCCCTGTTCTTGCAGCAGTCTCTATTTCTGGGAGGGTCTTGCTAAGGCTTCACGTCCCATGTCTTGGGAGCTACGTAGCTCCCCAGTCTAGCGGACAGAATCCATAGCCTAGAGCACTGGAGGGAAATGCAACCAGTGACTTTGTGATCCAACACTCGTCCTGAAGGAAAGCAAAAAAACAACCCTTTTCCTGGTCCTGGCAGGGCTGTGTGTAGAAGTTAAATGATAGACGCACTGACACATACAACAGAAGCACCCCTCATGGGCAGACCAGATAGCCCCCTCTGAGAGAGACTGGGGCAAAGAGAATTCTTCCAGCAAGCCCTGAAGGTTGGTGAACTCCATCTCTGTTGGACTTGAAGGAGTAGGGCAGAGAGCGTGTACCAGATAAGTTAGTGTCAGGAGAAAAGCATCCTCTACATTACCCAGCACCCAAGGCATAAGCAGAGCTGTGGCCTGCAGCAACCAAGATGAGATGCAAGTAAGTGGTTCTAGGACACTCTGTGGATGGAGATGGACTTTGGCTTCGTTTTCAGAGTGGCAGCCATACCAAGGAACACAAGTGCTGCCATGTGCTGGAAGAGGCCAGCTGGCCCATGCCCTTTGCCAACCTGTTCCATGGGGAAGGGACCTCCTGGTGTCCATTGTGGAGAGGAGCTGAAGGAGAAGGCTTAGCTCAGGTTCCCTTGCTTCAAAATCTCTCTCCTTTGCCTTGTGATGTCCAGTGTTGTCCCTGTGCACTCTCCTCCGTCTCTTCAGTGTGGCTTTGCATTACTCCTCACCTGGAGTCTGATGCTCTAAGACGAGAATGGTTCCCATGACAAAAGGTGACAAGGTCCAGGTGGGTGAAAGCTTGCTCACAAACATGGAAGAGTCCAGTACAGCTAAGTTGGGGTGGGTGGGGAAAATGCTTGGCTCCAAACCCAGACTTGAAAGGCTAACATGATGAGCCATGGTGATGCTGTTAAAGGGAAACGGCATCCATCTGCCCCATCACTCCAGCCTCAGCCTAATGCTCTGGAAAGTAGGGGCCATTTTTGTGAATGACCAGTGACCTACAACTTGGAAGAAGAGCTCCTGGAAGTCCTGGCTCAGAACTGGCACCAGGTTCTGACCCTGGCTGGCAGGTTTCGCCATCGGAAAATGAGGTTGAAAGCAATGACCTGCTTGCGAGAGTGCAGGGTTAAGTCCTTTAGCACTTGACAGGCATTTCTGAACTGCTTGGCTGAAAGGTGAAGAAGACAGAGTATTGACCAGTGTGGTGTGGAAGTCCTTGCAGGGTTTAAAGCTATATGATCTGACCCACCTGTGTGTCCTGGCCAAGCTCCATTTGAATGCACCAGATGCAGAGTGCAGTCAGTCCAGTTCATTTCCCAGGTTATCTGGGGGGTGAATTGTTTCCAGGGTTACACCTTGGCAAACACCCAACAAAGGGCTGATCCTGATCTGTGCTGAGGAAGATCAGCACTGTGGAGCACTGGGCCTTACACTAATTGTGCTGCTCACCTCAACATCCAGATTAATGGCTGATGAAGAATCACATAAAATATGAACATGGCGAATGCTCTCCTGGGTCAGACCTCCGGTCCTTGGCTCCTGCAGTCTCCCTCCTCTGTTGCATCCAGTATCAGCCACTACTGGAAAATCTAACTATCAGACAGTCATAAGATGCTTACAGGGTAACAGTTGTCTAAAGTCCTGGAGCAGGAAAGTTGGTCTCTCAGTAATTTTTATCAGGCTGTAGTTGTAGCTTGTTACCGACTACAGTAGCAGGAGTTGAGGGGCCTGGCAGCCACAGCTGCATGGAGGTTTACCTTGTGTTGGCCAGTGTAGCATGACACCTGGTCCATGATTCTGTGTGTCAGTCATTTGTGCTCACTGCATGGTTTGCAATGGACATCGTGCTGTCACTTGTACCTGCACGGTCCCACAGACGTCCTGCCCAGATCCAGCCAATACTGTTCTCAACTGGATGGACGCTCACATAGTGAGCATGGGGTCATCGGGCTCATAATTTAGTATCTCATCTCAGTACCTGGATTTAAAGAGTGGCCCAAAAGCATACAATCCATGAGCACGCTGGCCAGATCCCTCAGGGGGTAACTCCAACCTGCCTATCCAGGGTTCCCTGCAGCTTCGCTAACTCCAGTGTCCCCCAGTCCTGCCCTGAGCTATTGCTGTGCACTGGTGACCAGCTGCTGAGCCCCTTGCGGTGGGAGAAGCAGTTCTGTAGGGCACCAAGTACAAAGTATAGTTGGATCCTTTGGGGTGGCAGGTCTTGTATCAATGTCAGCATTTATTACTCTAGGCTAAGCTGTCATGCTCAGCCGTGCGTTCCCTGGGTCCTTGTTCTGAGCAGTTAGCTGGTGTCTCAGGCTGGAGCTGTCAGTGCTTTGCCGACGTAGCTATTTTAGCAGCTGGAATCTCTTTCTCATGAGACTCATCCCTGCTTCCTGCAACAAAAGTCTCTTTCCCAGCTTGTCTCCTTTGCTGTCAAATCAAGAGGGTGACCTTCCCTGGTGCCCAGCTGCCTGTTGGCTGAGCTGAGGGGGTGCTGGAGAGGATGCTGTTGCAGGGATAACCGGGCGCTTTCTTTCTTTCAGATGATGGTGACTCCCGGCGTGATCTCGCCCCAGGCTCGGATGCTAAGGAATACTGCCTGTCCGACCGCGACATTGTGGAGGTGGTGAGGACAGAGTACGTTTACACCCGCCCTCCCCCCTGGTCAGACACCCTCCCCACCATCCACGTCATCACCCCCACCTACAGCCGGCCGGTGCAGAAAGCGGAGCTGACGCGCCTGGCAAACACCCTCCTGCACGTGCCCAACTTGCACTGGATCCTAGTGGAGGACTCTCAGCGCCGGACCCCCCTCATCACCCGGCTGCTACGGGACACAGGGCTGAACTACACCCACCTCAACGTGGAGACACCCCGCAACTACAAGCTGCGGGGTGACATGAGGGATCCCCGCATCCCTCGTGGGACCATGCAGAGGAACCTGGCCCTGCGGTGGTTGCGAGAGACCTTTAACAAAAACAACAGCCAGCCGGGGATTGTGTACTTTGCTGACGATGACAACACCTACAGCCTGGAGCTCTTTGAGGAGGTAAGGCACGGGCAGGCTTTGCCTGGCTCCTGGGAGCTTGCAGGCCTTTGTGCGGGTCCCCACGGCCATGCCCAGTGGTGTCTGTAACACCATTTATGCTTCTGGTGCCAAGCTACAAGGCAGGAGACAACTGCAACGCCGCTCCAGCTGGCAGGTAACACCGTGAGGCTCCCTCATGATCCCTGGACCTGTCTTCTATACTCAGCTTAAGTGGAAAGAAAATGCAGCTAGTTCTCATTGCAGTGCAGGGGGGGAGTGGTATGGTGTAACTGAGCCCCTACACGGTACAAAGTACCTGGGCTTGGGCTCCAGTAGGGTTTTACAGCTAGACTGCATCTTGTTATAAGAAGGCATCTAGCAAGGAAGCCAGGCCCGGTGCTGCAGGGAGGGATGGTGGATGGCTCTGCTTGCCTCGTGAGCAGAGGGTTTCCTCCTTGAGTTTCGGTCAGATGCAGCACAGAATATAAAAGCTGTGAAGAACTCATGGGGGTGATCTCGCGGCTGTGCTCTCAGGAAGCCCCTGCCTGGGCTTGCTGTGCCTGCGCTTTAGAAAGCCATGGAAACACAAGCATCTTTCTTAATTCCTGTTGCTTTGGAAATGCATCCACTCTGCCACTGTGACGGGTCTCCCTGGGTAACGGCATGGGTGTGCAGAACCGGGCAGGGTAGCTGGATGTCGCTGGGTTGGGGTGGGGGACTAGCATGGAGATTACTGCTGACAAGCTACAAGCACCCGCCCCTGCAAGCCAGGGAGACTCGTCCCCTGAGTAAGGCTGGCAGGAGGAGATTGTGGGGAAAGCACAGGATGGGGAGACAAGAGACCTGCTTAGGCAGAAGATTTCAGAGGTAGCTGATGACCACTTGGCTTGAATCTTCCCCGCCATCAGCAGTCTTTCCTACCTGGCTGTGCAGGACTGCTTCATGCTGCTGGGTTGGCAAGGCAGGAGGATGTATCGCTTGCTTTGCTGCAGGTTCCTGGGGTCAGGGCGGGGGTTGGGGGAGGAATCCCCTTACCTGTCCCACATCACACTCCCTCTTGGCTTTTTGTTAGTCCATGCAGCATCTTACCTTAGGTGTTGCTGGATATCTCCCCTCCCTTGAAGCTTGGTTGCTTCTGCCTCTGCCTCTAGTATTTTATTTGTATCTGTCAGGATCCTGGCGCGACACAGACAGTGCCCTTCCAGCCTTCACTCTGAGCATGGCATGGGCACTGTGCTTCAGGACGTCTTGCTCAGAGGCAGGCTGTGCAAGTGGCTCCTCAGGCACGTGGCTGAGCAGCCTGCATTTGTCAGTGCTCCTTTGCTGGCTCCGAGGATGAGAGCTCTCTGCCGTCGCCCTCGCACTTGCCTCCAAGGCCACCTTTCTTGGAGCATCTGGAGGCAAATGGGCTCCCAGGGTGTTTTGGCCCAGCTGGGAGATGCGACTGAAACCTCAGCCCAGGTGTGCTGTCTCCAGAGTGAAGGCATGGTGAATGCATACGAGTCCTTTCAGTGCTTTGTGTCCCAGGCAGTCCTGTCTCTTGTGTGCATGCAGGCTGGGTCCTGTCTCAGCTCTGTTGCTGACTCCGTGTGTAGCCGTGGGTGAGGCTTTTTATTCCCATGTATCTCAGTTTCCCCACCTGCGAAATGGGGATGATGCCTGTGGGGCCTCATGAGACTGTCACCTGCTCGCATTGGCCAAGGATTCTGAAATCCTCTGGTCCAATCTTGGTGCTGCACAAGGGTGAAATACTAGCTGCTAAGTAGCAGTGATCAGTGTAAAGCCTCCCAGAGGTGGCTCCACCATAAGCTTTCCAGCCTCTGTCCTTCTCTGTGTGTAAGCAGTGGCCATCAGCCTCCCTGCTGACCCTGCCTTCAAACCCAGGTTCCCCAGGGCTGCAGGAGCCCCTCAGGCATTGCAGCTGCTTCTGAGGCTAATGAAGTCCAGCCTTGTATCCGGTTTCTGTTTTAGGTAGAGAGATCTGTCTCAGGCTTTGCACGAATGCTATCCCCATTGCAGTACATGGCAGAGATGAGCCATTCCCTGCGGCTTTCCACTGGCCTGTAATGAGTCCCTTTCTGCTTGGTGCTGTTCCTGCTATTGGAGGAGATGCAGTTAAGCCTGGGATCGCAGGGAAGTGTGTGGCAGAGAACAGTCCCTGTGAAGCAAACGCGCTGGCACATTTACCACTCGGATGCTGGTCTTCACTTTTTCTGACATTTCTCACCTGTCACCCTCTCCGCGTGGAAGGGAAAAGGTCAGAGCAGGCTCCGTGACCCTTTCGTGTCTCTCACTTCGGGTGTTCAGACCACCTCGGCCATGACAGCAGTATGATGGCCTGGGCAGGGAAATGGCAATACTGCACACTTCAGGAGGAGAATGGGCAGTTAAGAGCTGAAGCAAGGAAGGAGCTCTGAACCAGGTCTGTGTGGAGGGTTTTTATCTCTCCTGTCGAATTTTAACAGAGACGGTCTCCCTGTCTGACTGAGAGGACTCATCCCTGAAGGAAGGACACTGTTCATTAGCTCAGGAGCAGGCCTTCCCTCTTTCCATTGTGTCTGGGGTTCAGCATCTCCATCCTCCCCAGCGTTGCTGCTTTAAAGCTGCCCCAGGAAGCCCAGTCATGATGCACTGCGAGTGGGTAGGAGTAATGTGGTGGGGAACAGGGCATGTCAAGGCAAGAGGAAGCAAGCACCTTCCTTTATCCTCATCAGGGAAACATGTGTCCAGGCTCGTTGTTAAAAGCCCAGGCAATGGGGACTCTGCTGTGTTCCTCAGACACTGGAAACACTAAAAGTAACTTTAAGAAATGTCTCTTCATAGTTGATGTGAAAACCAGAACTTCATTTGGGATGCTGTGCCTAGGGTTTAGAGGAACCTGCTTGGAGCCCAGACTCCTGGGCTCTGTTCTTACCTGTGCCATAGACAGGGTGGTAGAAGGCAGAGCATGTCTGTCTGAGGACCCTGCATACCAGCAGAGCTCTCCTGGTGAGTTGCAAGGGGTCATTCTTGCCATTTTGCACCTTGGGAAACTGAGGCATGGAGCAGTGCCATGACTTGCCCTCATTGACTCAGGGAGTATGTGACTGAACCAGGAGTTAAATCCAGTGCTAACCCAGAGGGCTGTTCTTCCTCCCTCCACATCTGCTTCAGTTCTGCCTCTTTGCCATATTTCATGCTTAGAACGGGCTTTAGTAACCTGACCCGAGAGGTGTCAGCATTTTGCTCCCCCTTCTGCCTCTTTGACAAGCCCTTCCCCACCCTTGGCATCCAGAAGCCACCAAACAGCTGTGCACATGGGTGCAGTTTTCCCCACATTGTTTATCAGGGAGGATTTATTGCCCAGTTCCTGCAAGGCCTTTCAGCAGGAGACAGGACACAGTGATGCCCTTCCTTTCCATGCCCCTATCGGCCAGCAATGCCCTGTGTCCCTGGCCCCAGTCCCTGCAGCCAGCAGCAGACAGGGGGTATAGGACAGGATGGGACGGCAGGTATCGCATCTAGCCATCTATAGGCACAAGACAAATCCAAAGCAAAGGTTTCCATTTCAGTACAGCAGCCTGACTTGTGCCCTCTTGACAGCTAAGGTGCCCAGTGGATCCCTGGAGGGCACACTGCATTATGGCTCCTCTGTTACCCCACACGGCTTTCCTCTCCGCCCCTTGAACTCAGCTGCATGAAGGGAATAGGGAGGCAATGGCATGCGCTTCAGGCAGCATGTACCGTTGTCCCCTGTGGCTGGGGGGCTGACGTTAGCCTGTGTGTAATGCAAAAGGACAGGTGCCTTCACCTCTCCAGGTCTCCCTCGCTGTAATTAGTGGTGATAAGAGTCCCTCTGGGAGAGCCTTGATCTGGGTTGTAAGCAGAAGGTGCAGTGCAGCGCACATGCTCCTGCCAGTGGAGCCGGCAGGGCACGGGGAGGGAGCTGCCATGTGGAGTCGTGTTTGCTGGGAGCTCACAGCTGGACTGCCCTCTCCAGAGAGCCACGCCATGGTCCCTCATCCAAACAGATCCAGTGCTGTCCCATTTTTCATGGATGGTGACTCACAAAATGGAGACAACTGCCAGTGTCATTTGAGGATGATTATCTTGTGGGATTTTTTAGCTTTCTGAAATGTTTTCTGTCTTCCCAGCTGTGCTTTTGACGCATCATGTGCAGCCTGCCTCTCTGATCTGTGCCTCAGTTTCCCTGTTGCTGGTGGTGGGGGAGTCCCACCTTTGTGTCTGGAGCTGTGCAGAGCAAGTCCTCCTTGGTGTTCACCGTCCCCTTTTCTCTCCTTGCCTCCAGATGCGCACAACCAGGAAGGTGTCAGTGTGGCCGGTGGCCTTTGTGGGTGGCTTGCGCTATGAGTCGCCCAAGGTGAACGCAGCAGGGAAGGTGTATGGCTGGAAGACAGTGTTCGACCCCCATCGCCCCTTTGCCATCGACATGGCAGGCTTTGCTGTGAACCTCAGGCTGATCCTTCAGCGATCTCAGGCTTACTTCAAACTGCGAGGAGTGAAGGGGGGCTACCAAGAGAGCAGCCTTCTCCGGGAGCTAGTGACCTTGAATGACCTTGAGCCGAAAGCTGCCAATTGCACTAAGGTACGGTCCCTTCCTTCTGATGCAGGGAGCATATGGGCCCACTCTCCAGCACCCATTTTGTGATATATTGTGAGAGCCAACATCCTAGAGAAACCATGGGTTGCAGGGGTGCAGGAAAGGTCTTCTCTTGCCCTTCTTAGACAATTATCCAGCTATGGGCAAGCGTGAGTTTCCTGTTGTCCTGTGGGAGGTGCTGCTGCAGACATTTGGTCAATGAAGCAGGGACAACGGAAAGGTCAAAAGGGGATTGAGTGCTGCAAATGATCCTTCTCCGCCATCACCAGAAAGTCTTTGCAATGGGAGCTTTTTCAGGGCTTCAGTCTCCTTTCAGTGGAGAGCTGCAAACCAATCTGCTGCGGAAGGGGAAGGGCCAATAGAGGCTGGGATTAGCATTTGGAAATGAGAACTTTGCAATGTAAGGAAGTGGCCCCAGACCTGAGAGCCCAGAGCTTTGACTGCATGGGGGATTATGAAATATTTGAATAAAATCATTGGCCTTTGAATTCCCTCTGAGTGGACTGTGTGCCTCCAGAAATGCAAGGACATCTGAGCCTAGCTGGCTCTTGTGCAAGGGGCCCTGCGTAAGCACAGCAGCAGAGGTTGGGAGGAGGCACTTTAATACCTCCTGTGGACAGTTTCTCACTTGCCTATGATTAGGGGTGTCCAGTCCTGGAAGGAATGAGGCAACCGATCTCCAAAGGAGGTTGAATCTAAGGTCTTGGGCACTGTTTGGGATCTAGCCCCAGAGGCCCAGCCAGCAGGAATTGAAAGTGATTGCTTGAGGTTTGAAACTCTTCCTCCTATGCTGGGGATGGTGTTGCTGGTGATAGCACCGTCACATCTGAAGCAGAGGAGGGAAGGGGATGGATTATGCCATCACATATGACTGAAAATTGGTGCTTCTGCCAGGTTTTCTTCTTCTAGCCCGTTGCGAAATGTCGTGCTATGCTTTGGGTTTTTGGCTGTCACCGTGTTGGTCTAAGGACATAGGCAGGCAAGGTTCTTTGAGTAGATGTGATATCTTTTATTAGACCAACTCAGCAATTGGAAAAATGTTCTTTTTTCCAGCTACTCAGTTGGTCTAATAAAAAAACATCACATCTACCCAAAGAACTGTGCTATTCCTTTGGCTTTAATGTTGCTCATGTATGAAGTCCAGTGACAGAGACAGGATCCAGGCCAGGACTGGGCATGGGGGAACGTAGGACAGGAAGGCAGCCTAGGGCCTAGGCCTTTGTGTCTCAATGGCTGGGAGTGAAGCACAGACTTGATCAGGAGCATAGCACCTGCCTGCATCCCTCCCCCTCTCTGCTGCCTGCTGCTGCTCTCGCTTAACAGGAACATCTAGAGGGCAGCTATTAAATATTTCCACTGTGCTGCAGGATGCGAGTGATGAGATGGCAGGGGGCTGTGAATGGGGGAGCCGGCCTGTTGTGTACAACACACTCCATCATGAACCTCCCCTGGATAAATGCACAGAGGGAAGTGTGAGAGGGAATCCAGCACTCCTCTGGCGAGCTGCTGTGAGCTTGCAGCCGGTCCGGCAGCAGCCCCCCAGCCTCTTGCCGTAGCTGCAGCCCCGCTCGTAGGAGGTGGCTGTCAGAATAAGGCCTTGTACTGGGAGGTTTGGGTGGGTGGACGGGGAGGATGCTACTGGCAAAGCACATGGTCAGGGCTTTGCGTTCAGGCACTTGGAGACTTTTTAGTTGCTGGTATCCACCTGGATGTGCAAGCTTTGCTCTTAGGCAGGTGCTGTTGGCCCAGAGCTGAAGAGCCGGCAGCAGTGTCCAGCCAGGGTGAGAAGTAGCCTTAGCTCTCCTGTGAGATCGCAGCAGTGGAGATTGTGGCAGAAAGCCACCTTGGTTTCTCCCCAGAAATCT